GCCCCCCCCTTCCCCCCCCCAGAGGCCTCCGCCATTCCGCCGCCCGGCTGCGGCAATGCCCTTTTTCGGTTTCCAAAACGGCTCCACGACGGCGTCCAAGACAAGCTCGATCCTGGTATCGTTCTGAAGACGCTGCCGGGGCGCCTGTGGACTCCATTTCGGCCCCGTCGGGGCCCCTTCTTGGCCTCCAATATCCGCTCCCGGAGCCCTCGACAGCGCCTCTTTGGCTCATTCTCGCCGACACGTGGGCATGTCAAAAAAATAGCACATACTATGGTTTTGGCTTGATTTCGGTTTCCCCCGGGGCTGTCCAGAACGCTGCTTACAGTTGACTTCCGGGCTCGCGTGCGTAATTTTTCATCACTCACTGTTGTTCGCTGTTTTTGGGCGCGCCCTGGGGTCCATTTTGGACGCTGCGGGGCCCATGTTGGGCCGCAAAACGGACCCCAAACAAGGTCAGACCCCGCCCGGTGTTTACTGCAAGACGGACGCGGTTGCGACCCACCCAACGCGGAAGTGTTGTCGCTTGAGCCGCCCTGGGCTTCCCCCAGACCGCCTCGGGGCCTTCTTAGCCTCTTTTTGGGCCCTTTTCGGGTTCCTCTTCGGCCCTTCTTGGCGCCTTGCCGGTCGGATCACCGCCAGGGCAACCGTCGGGGCAACCAAACGCTCGGGCAACCGCTGAGACTAGCAACGGGAAAAGAATCCGGGCAACCGTCGGGACAAGCACCCAGACATCTACCACGGCACACCTCGGGCCAGTCATCAGCACTAACACTAACACCGGCACCATCAGCACCAGCGCCAGCAGCGCCAGCAGCAGCAGCAGAAATAGGACCAACAGCAGCAGCGGCACCCGCACTGCACCGTACCACCAGCAGGAGCGACAACAGCAACACCAGCCGCAGCACCAGCCGCAGCACCACCACCACCACTAACAGTAGCAAGTACGACAAACCTACTGTCGAACAGCCACGAGGCATGCCTGAGCGTAGTAGGCGATAGCATAGGAAGAGAGAACGCGGGACAAAAACAACAACGCACACGCCTTGTATGAATTCCTGCCTATGTTTATCCCGTCATGGAGCCGTCTTCGCCTCGTCCGGCGAGAACTGGAATGCGCGGGCGGTGAACGCGAAGCGTCTTGAATAGTAATCGTAGCCGTGGTCGTACGAGACGTAATGATAATGGTGGAATGCATGGGGACAAAAAGCGCAATAACAATATATGTAATACGAGAAACAGCAGCAGCAACACTAGCAGTAGTAGTAGTAGTAGTAGTAGTAGTAGTAGTCGTAGTAGTAGTAGTAGTAGTAGTAGTAGTAGTAGTCGTAGTAGTAGTAGTAGTAGTAGTAGTAGTAGTAGTAGTCGTAGTAGTAGTAGTAGTAGTAGCGTAGTAGTAGTAGTAGTAGTAGTAGTAGTAGTAGTAGTAGTAGTAGTAGTAGTAGTAGTAGTAGTAGTAGTAGTAGTAGTAGTAGTAGTAAGTAGTAGTAGTAGTAGTAGTAGTAGTAGTAGTAGTAGTAGTAGTAGTAGTAGTGAAGAAGAAGTAGTAGTAGTAGTAGTAGTAGTAGTAGAATTAGTAGTAGCAGCAGCAGCAGCAGTAGTAGTAGTAGTAGTAGTCGTCGTCGTCGTCGACGTCGTCGTCGTCGTCGTCGTCGTAGTAGCAGTAGCAGTAGCAGTAACCGTAGCAGTAGTAGTAGTAGTAGTAGTAGTAGTCGTAGTAGTAGTAGTAGTTGTAGTAGTAGTGGTAGTAGTAGTAGTAGCAGCAGTAGTAGTAGTAGTAATAGTGGTAGTAATAGTGGTAGTAGTAGTAGTATTAGTAGTTAGTAGTAGTAGTAGTAGTAGTCGTAGTAGTCGTAGTTCGTAGTAGTAGTAGTAGTAGTAGTAGTAGTAGTAGTAGTAGTAGTAGTAGTAGTAGTAGTAGTAGTAGTAGTAGTAGTAGTAGTAGTAGTAGTAGTAGTAGTAGTAGTAGTAGTAGTAGTAGTAGTAGTAGTAGTAGTAGTAGTAGTGGTAGTAGTAGTAGTAGTAGTAGTAGTAGTAGTAGTAGTAGTGGTAGTAGTAGTAGTAGTAGTAGTAGTAGTAGTAGTAGTAGTAGTAGTAGTAGTAGTAGTAGTAGTATTAGTAGTAGTAGTAGTAGTAGTAGTAGTAGTAGTAGTAGTAGTAGTAGTAGTAGTAGTAGTAGTAGTAGTAGTAGTAGTAGTAGTAGTAGTAGTAGTAGTAGTAGTAGTAGTAGTAGTAGTAGTAGTAGTAGTAGTAGTAGTAGTAGTAGTAGTAGTAGTAGTGGTAGTGGTAGTAGTAGTAGTAGTAGTAGTAGTAGTAGTAGTAGCAATAAGCCGGAACGAACCATCTCCGAAACCTGGGCGGGGCACAGCTGCTGGAAAGCGCCCCAGGGCCCAAAGACCTTGCCGAACCACTGGAAATCTCCGTCGTCGTCGTTGTCGTCGTGGCGCAGACGCCGTCGCCGCCGCCGCCGCCCCCCCCCGCGGCCTGGGCGGAAGGTCAGGCTGACCAGCGAGGAATCGGGGGCAGCGCCGGCGCCAGCGCAGGGCGCGCGCCCAGGGGCCCGCGTGCCGCAGCGGGCACCCCACCTCGGGAAATGGCGGGGGCGGGGGCGGGGCTGACGACCCAGACCTCGGTCTGCTGGCTCACGCCCGAGGGTGACCCTCTGCGGAGCCCCGGTGGGCTGCCTTGGGGCCTCGCCTGATTCGTCTGGAGGAGGAGGAGGAGGAGGAGGAGGAAAAGGAGGAAGAGGAGGAAGAGGAGGAGGAGGAGGAGGAGGAGGAGGAGGAGGGGGGTCCGGCCCCCGCCGTGCGCGACGCGCGGCTCCCCTCGCGCCCTCGCGAGCCCCCGCGCGGGCGCCCTGGAGACGGGCAGCCGCTCCGGCCCAGGCCGCGACGCGCGCGGCGCGATCGCCCTCGCGCCCCCGCGGGCGACCTCGGCCCGAGCACATCGAGCACATCGAGCTCGACCATTTTGAAGGGGCCCAAGGACACACAGATAAATACACACAAATAAAAGGATTCCCCTATATTTTCCCATATTTTCCAGGTTTTTGTCCTCCCCCCCACTGCCCATATTTTCTTATATTTTCTGGGGGATCGACGATTAATTGTGTCTGTGTGTTTTTCCCCCTCCTGAATATCGAGCACGTCGAATACATCGAGCTCGACCATTTTTTGCTGCATCTTTGGCAGCTGGCTCCCCGGGCCCCCAGGGGGCTGCAGGAGCACGGCCCAGGGGGCGAGACGCCGGTCCCCGGGAGGGCCGAGGGCTCGGGGCCCGGAGAGGCTCAGGAGGAGCGAGTCGTCGCAGGCCTCTGGGCCCCCGAGGCCGAGGTGGGGGAGGCGGAGGAGGAGGAGGAGGAGGCGGAGGAGGAGGATGAGGAGGAGGAGGAGGAGGAGGAGGAGGAGGGAGGAGGGAGGAGGAGAGGAGGAGGAGGAAGAGGAGGAGGAGGAGGAGGAGGAGGAGGAGTAGGAGGAAGAGGCGGAGGAGGAGGAGGAGGAGGAGGAGGAGGAGGCGGAGGAGGAGGAGGAGGGAGGAGGAGGGAGGAGGAGAGGAGGAGGAGGAGGCGGAGGAGGAGGATGAGGAGGAGGAGGAGGCGGAGGAGAAGGAGGAGGAGGAGGAGGAGGAGGAGGAGGAGGAGGAGGCTCAAGAGGACCCTCCTCTCTTGCCCCGAAGCTGGCTCTTCGGCCTCGGCCTCCATCGACGCTCCAAGGGGCCCCGGTGAGGGCGCTCCGAGGCCGCAGGCGGCGAGGAGCGCCGGCGCACGTCTTCTCGCTGCGCGGGAAGGGCCGTCGGGGGCCCCGGGGCGTCCCCGGGAGGTGGGGCGTCCAGGGAGGGGGCTCGCAGTTCCTCGCCCGAGAGGCACGTGCGTATGCGCGGCCCGAGGGGGAATGAGCGACGTACTGAGACAGGAGGGGGGCCATGACCTCCGGGGAGAGATCGTGGACCCCGCCATGGGCTGGGCCCCACTGGCCGAGCTAGGAATATAGGTTGTTCCCTTCGAGCTTCGCGGGGCATATCCCCAATTCCGTACGAGAAGGACGCACGGTCGGGATGGAGGGGCCTTGGAGGGTAACGTCGACACTTTGCGGGCGGGCGCGGCCAGCGAAAGCGGCCAGAGCATGGCCGAAGGGGTAAAATGCAGGGACAACCTTGGAAAATTGGTTCTCCTTACCGTGCGGGTTGACTGTCGGGTAAACGGTACTGGTCCTTGCTGTGCGGGTTGACTATAGGGTAACGCGGGTTGACTGCACAGTCAACCCGCATGGTAAAGATGAGCAACATTCCCAAAGGGTACCCTTGCATCCCTGCCTCCTCGGTCCATCCTTGGCCACTTTTGTTGGCCGCGCCCCGCTCAGAAAGCTTCGAAATGGCCTTCCAAAGCCCATGCATCCTTAGAAGAAAGAAGAAGAAGAAGAAGAAGAATTCGCCGGCCCAACGGGCCAGGGCGTGCTAAGATCTCCGGTAACTGGTTAACAGTATTAACAGTATTTCTAGTTCGCGCGCGCGGGGCGGCCCCTGGGGGTCCCCCGGCGAAAAGTACCCCGACCAACGCCCGACCGCCGCCCGACCGCCGCCCGACCGCCGCCCGACCACCGCCCGACCAAGTCTACTCAGAGATGGTTTTCCTTCTGGGTGCGGCCTCTCAGGCTCCCCAGAGCGCGCTCAGAGTGCCCCAAGAGGCCCCCAAGACTGCCCAAGAGGCCCCCGAGACGCCCAAAGAGCGCTCGAAGACGCCGAAGATGACCCCAAGACGGCCCAAAAGGCCCCCAAGACAGCCCAAGAGGCCTCCAAGACGCCCCAAGAGCCTTCCAAGAGGCCTCCGAAGAGAGCCCCAAGAGGCCAAAATCGTTGATTTTCATTGTTTTTTCTATGTTTTTTGTGTTCTGGCTTTTTCGGCTTCCGGACGCTCCAAGACGGCCCAAGAGGCCCCCAAGACCGCTCCAAGACGGCCCACGAGGCTCCCAAGACGGCCCCGGAACGGCCCAGGAGGGCCCCCAAGACGGCCCAAGTGCCGCCCAAGACGGACCAAGAGGCCCCAAGACGGGCCCAAGAGGGGCTCAAGAGGGGAACCGAGAACTGAAAAATCGAGCCCTCCGCCCCAGAAGGCGCCCAGGAGGCCCCAAAAAGGCCCCAAGAGGCCCCCAAGAGGCCCCCAAGACGCCCCAAGAGGCGCCCAAGAGGCCCAAAAGAGGCCCCAAGACGCCCCAAAACGGCCCCCAAAACTCGGCTAGCCCACAACGGTGCGACAATATGGGCCGGCGGAATGAGCGAAGCGATTAAATAATAAGAAGAAGAAGAAGAAGAAGAAGAAGAAGAAGAAGAAGAAGAAACGCCATACTCAAAACCTCGTTGGCGCTCCGCGAGGATTTCCTGGACCCGCGCTGGGGGTGATAATCGGGCTTGGGCAATGGATCTCTTTTTTGTTTCTATGGACGCTTCGCGCTTGCGTCTTGGGAAACGCCTGCGGAACGCGCTGCAACCGCGGGGAAGTCGCTGCGGCGAGCCCTGCCCAGCGAGCGCAGAGCTCCGGGCCTGGCCAGTCACCAGCCAGCTTCTAGTTTTTTTTAATGTGTCTCGTGAGGAGCTTCGAAAACGTTATAAAAAAGCAGCGCTTGGGGTAACACCGTGCCCCTTCCTAGATGCAGCGGCTTGCCGTTAGCTCAATTCGGCGCGCCGATGCCACCTCCACCCCCTCCTCTCCCTGAGCCTGGACCAGGGACGCTTGAAGGTGGCGAATGCCTCGAAAGCTACAGCGGGAACGCTTGGCAGACGCTACGTGATCGTCAGGCGACGTCCTCCGCCCTCATCCTCACGGCACAGGAGGTCGGCTTCCTGGAGGACAGTGCTGGTGCAAAAGTGATGTGGACGCCAAGTTGGGCTGGAAGATGCTCGCGCCCCCCATCCATCCCAGGATGGTCTGGGCAACCAAAGTGGGGAGTGGCAATTTGTGTGAGGCAGACTTTAGGGCTGCGGTGGCCCGCGGATGGATCTGGCATACATCGCCGCGACGAAAGTGTCTTTCAATTTGCCTTTTGGAATGACGCGCTCGTGCGGATTAGTTCGGAGTAGTTTTACTAGAGCTACTCCGCGCGCAATCGTACCCCGCTCGATAAGTTGCCTGGTTTTGCGCGGAGTGGTTTCCGATCCCGTTTTGGGGCAACAGAATTATCAACGTCTCTGGGGTCGGAGACGATTCCGCCGAATGACCCAGCATCATATCGCGTTAGGAATCTTGAGAGGGATGGGAGAGATCTTCATCATACCAAATTGGAGAAACTTGTGCCACGGCTGTGTAGTGGTTCCAGGTGGGATCATACAAGCCATTGTCGACATCCCGTCCTGGCCCCCTCTTGTTGTTGTGAGTGCGTACCTTAAGTCAGGCACGGGGCTCTGTGAGCTCAACCTCCGGATGCTCAAGAAAATCGGTGCCTCTCTCGAACGAGAGCGTCACTTCCTGGTAGGAGCTGACTGGGACCTGGAACCCAGACTGGTGGGCAGCACAGGACTCCCGAGACGCTTGGACGCTGCGCTTTTTGTTCCGAAGCAGCGCGCCTGTGTCTCGCCGACGGCTGTGGCCGCCATCGACTCTTTCATGACCAGCACGAGCATGGCCAGAGCCGTCGAGAGTATAGACGCGGCGATGAGTTGGACGGCTAAGCCCCACAGGCTAGTTTTGCTTAACGTACGTGACACAGCGGTTCATGTATCAACTTAGCTATCACACTCATCAGAAGTTACCAGTTGAGCTGCCTGTGGGACCTACGCCGTGCCCTCAAGATTGGACTGTCCAGGTGCCTGGCCGAGACTGTTGCAGACGTTGCGGTCGCTCTTCCCGTTGGACAGGCTCGGGCTTCCCTCGCGCAAGCTTGGAAGAAGCGTTCGTGAATATGTTCGAGCTTGAACTCGGGTCGTTCCTTGGCGTGGAGATCGCTCGCAAGGGGCGCAAGGGGTTCTTCCTCAAAGCTCGGCGGGTGCCAATAATTGCCAGACCTAAGAAGGCCACGAGGGGTGATGTGAGTTCGGGTTGGGTTTGGCTGGCTCAGCATTTGAAATAAACCATTGGTGTGGCCCAGAGACTCTACGATGCGCGCTCGGGAGCTCCGATGTGGACCCCACTAGGCTGAGTGAGCTGCAGCAGGGTGCGAATGCCCAATTTCGACAGCTGCAAGTGCAACCCGTCCCAGGTGAAGGCTATAGCGCCAGTCTGAACGCCGCCGTCGAATAGGCGCGATATTTAGACTCCTGGAGCGACGGCCTGGAGCTGGCCCACGCGACCCTTGACAAGAGCAAAGCATATTCCAGGGGTGACTGGCAGAAAAAAGAAAAAAAACGCTTTCGAGGGGGGGGGGGGGGGGGCAGGATCATGCGCCGCCTCCAAACTGAAGGAACAGCGGAAACCTACGGTCGTTCAGCTTACGAGTAACCCGCGTAATGTTCTCGATGCCGAAGGCAAAGCCTTGGCTCGCTTGTGGCGCGCTAGCACCTCCCCTGCGACGGTTGAAGTTTTAAATGTTGGATAGACAGCACCTGCCACGCGCGTCGGCTGCGGGGATCCGTAGTGCTAGCAATCGTTTCTCGAGGT